CGTATTGACGATACTGTACACGCGATTCGCTGTCGAGGGAAGCCAAGTGACAAGGAGCGCCGTAAAGAAGAGGATGGCGCACTTGCTATATGACCACGCAGCATTGTTGGCCTCAAAGTTTGCCCTTCTTTTTTGGGACTTTGCTCGTGACTGAACTGCGGATGGTGTCTGCGGCACGTTGCTCTGGATAGGAAGCACGATATCCTCCTCTTGCGCTTTGCTGTTACCTTTTGTATTATTCGACGATATTGTTACCGAGTACGACGGGTTGCTCTTATTCATGCCGAATCGTCCAAGGGGTGCAAGGTCGATTCCACTTCCGCCCTCTTCAGCAGCTTCGGACGTGACTGTTACTTCGGTTGTCTTCACCGAATAGGGGTCGTTCATATTCAATGCATCGGGATCATGAGCGCTGCTGCTGGCGCCAAAATTCCGTAGTTGCTTGCGCTTCTGATATATGTCTTTTCCTGCCCGAATATAAATAGCCATTGTAAGTAAGATGACGACCCTAAGTAGTGTCAGTAATGCCGATCTTAGAAGCATCAATTTTTCCCGAGCCCTTACCAGACAGGACCGTAGAAAGTAATGATCCGAAATATGTCCCATCCTGAGCTAACCCAACACCATAAAGTGGCATTGCCATACATCCTGCCAGCCGACTCTGTTTTCACGAAAACGTAGGTGAGCGCGGGAATGAATGGGATGCCGTAACATATTAAGAGGTACCTGAAGTTGGTATTGCATGAGTTTCCATGTTTAGGTAGCTTTTAAGGGATAGGGGTTGGGTTTGAACTAACCATTTTTCCATCATACGGAGCCTAGCGGCGTCGAACTTGTAGTAAAAAGTTAAGTAGACATTAAATGCCATAGCCAATGTCCAAAAAGCATCAGCGGGCAGGAACCTTGGATAGTTTAGTAAGTCGAGCGAATATGTATTGGCAAATGACATACATTTGTATAAGAAATCCTTGAAATTGGCATCCAAATGTATCAATCTCCGTCACATATCTCCTCGACATCAATGTTCCCACGTTGGTCATCATATTACCGAAGGAGGCATAGAAGACTAGGCGGTTAATAGGCTTATGGAAAGCTTTCGAGAAAGAGAAGGTAATGATAACGAAAAGACATCCCAACAGCGAGAATATGGAGCCAACTCGTTCAATGACGCTGATCGCCTCGAGCTCTCCTGCTGTTAAGTCACGCCCCATTTTCGTATAGTAGTTAATATTAGATTCAAGGGAATTGAGGTGTAGTTGGTTCGATGGTTGGGCTCCGAGCTGATATATCGTACGAACAGGAACGGCCCGCTACCGAGTCGGTAGTCAAATAGAGATGCCGGATCTATGTTTGCTTCACTCGATATAAATATGAAAGCTGCATAACTGGCCGAAGGAACGCCTGAGTCATTAATCAACGTTTGGCTTTCCAGCAGTATGGACTAGTTGACATCATCCATGTGAATGAGATACGCAAACCAATGTGAGTCGTCAAATATCGATAGGGTTGAGTTAGTTAGATGTGTTTGTGATTCATGAATCGTAACGAAGTTTCGAGGTCCACTTGTCCATCCACAGTATCAACAGTCGGGTCTCAAGAGAATCTTATACTCTAGCGTCCACTCACACCGGACTCGTAAACTTATTTGAGGTTGCATGGGTCTAAGCCTTTCCTATCGATGTGGATATTCTTGAGAACATCTTTGGAGGGACAGAATACTAGATATGTATCTCCTGGATTCTGACTGGGATGCCACGCGACTAATAAAGAAAGCCCCGTGTGTATTTTATGCCAGGGCCCAGGTGCTTGACCAAAGCGAACTAGAAGAAGGGCTTCGGCTCCTGAGAGGGTTCCTCAGGTACCAGGACCAATCAAATAAGAAATTGAACAGTAAAGAGAATTTGCGGCAAGTATGTATTGAGAAAGACACAGGCAGAGTAAGCAAGGATAACAGGCCGATTATTCTGGGATTTGACCAGCAATATCAGTCAGAGAAATAGTTACAAGCTGTAGGAACCAGGATGTTTTCGTCCCGGCCTGTAGGGTGTTGACGCTGACGTGCGTCTGTACCCATTCCGTTGACGGACAGAAGTTGTACTACACAGTATGCAAGTGTGGGCTTTTCTGCAACTCATCTCGAGCAGCTATGTAAGGCAACCCCAGGATATGTGGATAATAGTCGAAACATATCCAGGCGAACCCGGCTCCATAATCCCTTAGTAACCTATTACCCCAACTTGGCAGACGATGGTGTTCTCGCCAAGCAGACGGTTGGCACGTCAAAGCGACAGGAGCTAGGAACAGTATGGTTAAGAGGAGCGATTGAAAGTAAAAGGGATGAGACTGCTGATGATACTATGTAGACTATTGGAAAGTGCGCAGAAATGCGCCTTTGTAGTCATCTGTGGATTACATGTGGCTCACCGGAGTAGGGGGAATACTACTGTGATAGGCAATAATGATGGCCATCAAGAAAGCCATCATATTACCGGAGAATCCGACCGTGGATAGGCTGGCTGAAGTAGGGATTACTGATACTACATAGTATAGATAGCGGTTTGCTATTGGAAGAGGGTCTTTCCAATGAGAACAGGCGAATTGGTGTTTGTTTAGGCTGCGTATCGCGTATCTTCTTTAGTTGTTAAGTATGCATCACTTTTCTGCAACGATATGGGTGTGTACATGTTTCAGACGTGAGCACGCTATCCGAATCCTCGTTCAGTTGTCTATGTTTGCGATCGTTATGCTGATGTAATTATACTTAATGCTCACGGTTGGAGATGATGAGATAGTGTGGTAAGATGGAATAAGTGCTGACGCCAACCGTGGTAAGAAAAACCGGCTTGTAGGATATGTAGTTAGCAAGATAGGGAATAATCTGTTTATTACCTAATATGTATGGAATACCAAGCTATTAGAGTAGATTCGTCTATTAAGTAATATGGCACGTGCACGTTTTATTATGCGGCCTACTTCCCAAAACCTACAGGATTTTGATCGAGGTCAACCACGATTTCGCAATCTCCACGTGGTGATCTACTATAAAATGTTGCGGCACAGCCAGCTATAACAGGCTACTTCTAATATGTCTTATACTGTAATAGCAACACGAATTACCAATTCCTCGCTAAGGAGCTGTCTAGGCTCAGTTCAAGATATTCAACGATCAAGATGCTCTACTGGCGCCATTCCCTCGAACGAATACCGTAGCTTAATGAAAGCATAAAAAACGTAGGCTACCTACGTTTAAGGGTTTTTCCTTCTCAAAAGCAGATATACCTAGCTAGTGGATGATAACGACCATAGCTATTCCATGCCAGAACCAAGAGCTATGATAGGCTTCTTAGACAACGGAGTGTACCCAAGGCCTCGATCAACGAGTTCGCACTACGTTCTACGTCGGGGGCCTCGTTGTGGTTTGAGCATTTACCCGGTTCATGCTGCTTCATCGTCCGGAGATCTCCTAACGTCTTGAAAGAAAAGCTACGGTTGGGTACAGGGACGAGATCAAATCCATGACCAAGACTTATACAATTTACAACCATGTACACAGTGCCCATTTTGAGTCGCTCAGCCAAGAACCCGACGACTAACATTATAATAAGTTGACATCTTTCTGTCTTTACCCACTAGAAAAGACTCCCAAGTCAACCTCAGGTATTTTCTTTAGCCGTCCTCCTTGTCAGACTTTGGAATCACCTAGCGTCCGTAGGCCAACATAGGTGCTTGCAAGTCATTTTCGTCCCGGTGCTGGTCCGAAGTCTCTATTGAAACTAGCGTTCCTCATACAAACCAGACAACTATATTTTATTTACTTAATCCCTCGTCTAGCGTCAAGATCCCTTGTCACGTTAGTATTGAAATAACTCCCGGCGTCGGTGACTTCTTTTCGATAGCTTGGGGACCTGGGGGAAGCACTCAAACTGTCTCATGGCCTAGCCGCCAAGCAGTTAGGCATCTTTTTGAATGTCAAAGCGTATGCGAGAACACGCAGGGCCGCACAGAGCACCGCATAATCCGATGTCATCGTCTTTATAAAATCTCCGTGACTAGTAAACCCGCCTGAGGAATCCGAGAATTGCCGCGGGTACTATCTCGGACCCCCGATGCAGGGGCGATCACATCTTCAAGGTTGTGCAGAGCTTCGTATCCTATCGAGATTCGGATATAGCACAATGCAGGTATGTTAGTTGGAACGTCCGCGCGATGTGACTGTGTTGACAATAGGTTCTTCAACACCGTCAAGCATTGTTTCATTAACAGGTATCTATCATTTTCGTGACGGCAAGAGGTAAACCGAGCGCGGTCGGGGTTTTCTCAAGAGGACCTGATGGAACTTCGGGATACTGTCCTCTACGATGACGACGTCGAGGTTTGCTAAAGATTACTTAGATTGATTAAGAAGTTGTCTCTTACATCCTTGGATGAAAGACAAGAACAGTAGAAGCGATAGGCCAACAATAAAAACGAACTTATATGCAAAGTGGCATTACGAGCCTTCCCCAGAATCTCAACCAAGCAAGCATATTACACCCTCACCCAATGCTTCGTCAGACCCAGAGCCGAACAATGGACCTTTATTTTTACCCAGCCAACTTTGTTGGCGTTGAAACTATGTCTCATAATAGAAATTCGCCTAGACTTATAAAGGTCCACGGCTTTCAGCAACCGACACGGATGTCAGACGCTATTCGTTCGTTCAGTTATGACTCTCCCGGCCTTCACATTCGCCATTGTCTACTAAGTGAATCTTGAGAACCGTTGCATGGCTACTGACGAGCTCTTCCGTACTGTCTGAGGCGCTCTTTGTGTACTAAGTTAAATAAGACGACTCAAATACCCTTGCTGTGGAAAACTTCTAGATCTCGCGGTCCCTACGGCATCAAATTTCAGCGTAGTCTCCGTAACCTATGGGGAACATCGTCACTTTATTTAGGGAGACCCTTTCCTTTATTTTCTAGAACCTGCCTACTAACTTTATAACATCTATGTAGTTGGCTTGCACCCTTTCAGGAGATAGAAATCAGAGAACTTCTAAGATGGAGGAAGCTCCCTTTAAGAGTTACCAGGCTCCCCTCGGTCGTCCTAGGAACTGCGGCGTCAATATGTCTGCTAGAATCTCCCCAGCGACCTCAGGTACCGGCAGAACTTATACACGTTTAGCCTAGAAGAACTAGTCATACCAAGAACAAGTTCATCAAATAACTCAGAGAAGCATCCTGGGGTGTGAGTAGTGTAGAAGTCATGGCAAGGAAAAGAAATGACAATAAGTTCCGGAGCCCAGCGACTCGCGCTAACAATAGGCGAGGCCCGCGAAGCGTAAACTTCGACGATGATTACCCCATGGGTGGCCTTGACCCTCCGACCACGAAGGGTCGCCATTCGTCGAAGAGAAGAAGTCAGAACAACTATAATCCGCCGCGTGGCCGTAGTCAGTCGCCATACCGCGGCAGCAACAGGAAAAACAACCGTGCCCCATCCTTCTCGCAAGACCAGCACTCACGAAACAACCACAATCCTCATCACGGCGCCCAAGGGTACAGAACCAACTCCCATAACAACTCCAACCCCAACACGAAACATAACCGCCGCAGACACCCCAGGGCCGCAAGCACAGACAACGCCGACGCCGAATTCGACGAGAACACCAGCATTGACGACCCGTTCAACTCTTCATTCTTCTCCCCGCGGCACATCCACAACGGCGTCTACAAAAGCAAGAACAGCAACAACAACAACATCCGGTCCTGCACAGAATGCAGTTCCGTCCGCCGCGCAAACCTGCGCTTCCGGAACTGGGCCGTGCGCGCCTTGAGCCGATGCAACGAGCGCTTCGCCGCGTGGGCCAACGAGGTGGGAGTCGGGTTTGGGACGGGAGATGAGATGGACTGGCAGCCGGAGCCTGTGGTGCGGGTGTTGCTAGTCGGTGGGGATATGTCGCCTACTTCTACTGCTTCTACTACTTCTCTGCCTCCTATTAGCCTGTCTACGGGCACAGGGGGTCAGCAGCGGCAGCAGCAGCAGCAAGAAGAGCAGATAGGTCCGGTACCAAAGCCTGGGCCGTGGGTTTGGCCCCCTTGGTCTGCGTCAGCAGGATGTCACCCGCCCGAGGCCCTTCCGGCGCAACCACAAGACGGCGGGCTTGCGACGTCCCAGGAAAATATGCCGTGCGGTGGGATATATGGGGGCGACGGTAATGGAACTTTGCCGATCTCGGGCTTTGGATTGCTAGGTGTTAGCTGCGGCGAAGTGTCGGGGCCTCTATCGAATCTCAACCCCAACGTGGGCCTCAACCAGTGGAGCATAAGGGATCAGGGTAGAGCTGGGGAAGTCGAAGACGACTGAAAGATGACTGAATATGTGCAAAGCTATCTAGACAACTCTCTAGATAGTCAAGGATCTATCAAAATAGATAGTAGTAGAGCTAGAGGTATGAATGTTTATGTTAGTTATTTAAGCAAATATTATTCACTAGTACCCAGCTCTACTAGATGTTGAACATCGTAGAACTAAGCTCACTCGATTAGATAGGGGGCGCTGTGGCATGTAGGGGGAACACACGGGGAGTAAATAAAGGTGTTTTTGTCTCGTATACTATGCTGACGGTTGATAAGAGAGTAGAGCTACTGGTCTCGATATGATAGCCAGAATCAGAGTAATCTGGGTTGAGATACTAGATCTTGATAATACGGCGATGTAATCAACATGCCATAGTAACAATGATATACCTTATAACAAGAGATTGAATAGACAAATGTGTGGATCGAACTGCTTGCGTGGTATTGTCCAGATAGACTTTTCCCTATGGAAACTGATGCACAGATGAAATATCAATAAACCGACCCTCCGAACGCCTAGTCGCCGTTGCCTGATGGGAATAACTCCATCCCACGAACCACGTGGATTATGATCGTTACATCAAGACCGTAATATAACACAAAATAGGTTGCTTTCCTCTTAGCCTATAAGGTGCCTAATTCGCCTCTTGGTATTGTCCAATCACGATACAATGATCTCGCTCATAGGGTTCTAGTTACGATAGTTAGTGGTAAGCAACTTTGATAAGAGGAAAAGAACTCATACCTAGTGTCAGTTGTTCCTGGGGCTTGATACGCTCTGCTCTCAGCTTCTGCACTTCCTGCGCGAAGACTGCTTCGGGGGCAGCTGTGCTGTCAATGCAGTTCGCCTTGATAGAGATAACTACACCACCGCCAACTTTCAGGAACATGTGTGCGTTCAGCGCAACAATACGGGCCTGGTCGGGTTGGGCAACATCGGCAAAGATGCAGTCAACCATAGGTACAAGCATGCGATACTTCATGGGGTGTCGGGCATCCTCGACAATAGGGATGACGTTAGTTCGGTTTTGGGCCATGTTGACCAGGTCTCGGCCAGATCGGTGGGAGAATTCAACGGCGTAGACATTTCCAGTAGGGCCAACAATATCGGAAACGTGAGAAACCGAAGTACCAGAGGCAGCACCCAGGTACAAAACCTTGGAGCCGGGCTTCATGTAGATGTTGTCGATACCACCGATAATACCGGCTGCCAACTTACTTCGGAAAGGATTCCAGATTCTGTACTCGACCTTGGTGGTAATAGGCGTACCATCCTCGGCCTTAGTAGTATTATCAATGGTAATCCTCTTCTCGCCGTAGACTTCGATGCCAGGGGCAACGCTTCGGGTGAGCAAGTGGTCCTCCTTGCCCCGCGAGACGAAAACGCCTTCGTGACGGTGGGGCTCCTAAAATATGGTTAGTATGATCATGTTCACGAGCCAGCTCATAACGAGGCCTGTAACTTACAACAACGACCTTGGCACCACCTCTTGCGCCGCCTCTCGCGCCACCGCGTCCAGCACCGCGAGGAGCACCTCGTCCTCCTCTTGGGGGACCGCCGCGACCACCACCACCACGTCCACCTCGGTCACCGAAGCCGCCTCGGCCACCACCTGTAGAATAGATGGTTAATAACTAATATCCTGAAATATATAAAGCTCGCATATTTAAACTTACCTCGTCCACCACCTCCACGGCCGCCAAAGCCACCTCCACCTCGTCCACCTCTGTCGCCAAAACCACCTCGGCCGCCTCTATCGCCAAAACCACCGCGGCCACCGCCTCTACCTCCTCGTGGAGTAAAGCCCATGTTTTAAAAATAAGAAGATTAGTTAAGTATGATTCTTGAGATGTTTGCGATAAGTATTATCGCGTCGTTTGTCGCGTTAGGGGTTTCGCGGAGACAATTGGAGAAAAAGTTATGTTAACTTTAAGCTCCCATAAAATTTCCTTCGAGCTTCAGAAGAAAAAAAAAAAGTTTTTGGAGCTAAAGGTACGAAGTACCGCTGATAGAGTTCAATTGAGAGTTTACATGGCCCGAGCTCCTATCATATTAAAGCCGAATATTTACCGTAAATATTCATGATAAAACTTTGTTATCGATAAAGGAAGAGACGCTTTGACCAAGTGGGGGCTCTTTATCATCCAAAAAAAAGAAAAGGTACGTACCATTCAGGGCAGTAAGCGAGGGCACAATTCAATTTCCACAATTTGAACTTCCCCGAACTTTGACCCTCGCGAAAATCTTCAATCCAACAAACGACATCGAGTCCATCTCCCACCTCAACACCACACAGCAGCCAAGATGGTACGTTTAGAATCCCGCTCGAGTGAATTCGTCGAATGCACATTCGTTCTGCGACGACCGCAATTTCAAATTCGGTGTACGACTTGAGTGCGCACCGTCGACGACTTCTCGCGATGCAAAAAAAGCCCACGAGCACGGGGAATTGGGTAGCTAATAGTGATCTACTCGCATAGGTTCGATACGCTGCCACCGAGATTGACTCCGCGAAGTCGGCCCGCGCCCGCGGCGCCTACCTCCGTGTTTCCTTCAAGAACACCCGAGAGACCGCCCAGGCCATCAACGGCTGGAAGTTGACCCGCGCCGTCAAGTTCCTCGAGAATGTTAAGGAGAAGACTGAGGCCGTCCCCATGCGACGATATGCCGGCAGCACTGGCCGAACAGCCCAAGGTACGAATATCTTATCTTTACGGATTTACCTCTACAAAACTTCAGGGTATTGGTGGGGCGGATAAAAAAGAATTCGATGATATTTGCTATGCGGTTATAGCTATTACATCAAACAAGCAAGCTAACATGGTCGATCCAAACAGGCAAGCAGTTCGGTGTCTCCAAGGCTCGATGGCCCGCTAAGTCTGCCGAGTTCCTGCTCGGCCTTCTAAGGAACGCTGAGTCCAACGCCGATGCTAAGGGCCTCGACACTAGCAACTTGATCGTCAAGCACATCCAAGTCAACCAGGCCCCCAAGCAGCGAAGACGAACTTACCGAGCTCACGGTCGTGTACGTATTCCACACTTGTTTCTTCTGGCCATCAGGTTTCCCAGGGCTAGAAGAAATTTTGCACATAAGCGGTTTTGCTAATGAGCCGTAACAGATCAACCCTTACATGTCGAACCCGTGCCACATTGAGCTCATCCTGACCGAAGGCGAGGAAGTTGTGCAAAAGTCCGAGTCAGTCGTCGGCCGCGAGCCGGCTCACCTGAGCTCGAGACAACGCGGTGCCCGTATCCGCAAGGCCATCACTGCCGCATAGATTCCCAAAATAAGATGACGGGGACGAGGCGGTGAAGGTAGGGGGTGTGACGATTAATGGAGATTAAAGGTTCGGGGTTAAAGTTGCTTTCAAACTCCAGGTGTCAAGGCGGTTATCGTAAAGCATGGGTCTAGGTATTCTCTGGCATGCAACTCCGCGAAATCAAAAATCTTCGTGGATTTTCCCCCAAATAACGCGCAAAAAAGTTTCTGAACGATCATCTCTTGCGTCTTCCGTTTTGATTGTGACGAATTGCTGGCCCTCTACGTGCTTCTATGCTCTTTACCGTAGTCTATTCCCTCCATATGTGCTCTTTGGTCCGACAATATTGCCAACTACTAGCCTGAAAAGCAAGGCAGAATAAGATACAAAATATGGTCTAATTCAAGACGTTTACGCTTCTATTCCTTATATGCCTCTCTTCTTAAACTACTTGTAGGAAAAGACAGACGTCCTCGTCTACTAGAAAGCAGCAAAGCTTACGGATGACTTCCTCATTATATCAGATGAAGAACTATAGTGTAGATCTACTGAGGCATTCCAACTACCATCGCCTCGCTACACCTAAGATCCCACATTTACTTGAACTACGAATTAGTACGTTGTCACATTTCAGAGGAAGCAGTTCAGATAGGGGTATAATCAGTCATTATTACTGAATGTATCTCATCGGGGGTCTACATAGTATGTAGTACCCAGAGACAAGCAAAACTAGCAACGCATCTCAAATCCGTACCGTATCTCTCATATCTCTCAAGCGAGATGAGCCATGAGCATCGTGTCAGGCCAGAAGTATAATACAAGCAGTCCGTCCCCCCTTATGCAAAGTGAAGTCCTCTGTTCTCCCGTCTCCAGAACATGGATAAACGTAACCAATCGCCCGTCCCGTATGGTTCCCAAGGATCCATGACTCGAAAATTAGTTCGTAGAACGGAAAGGGGATATGTAAAAGTAACGAGCTCAACGCAAGTGCGCTGCTGCTGCTGCTACTCGACGAAGTGAATACACACGTATTAGTACGGCTCTTGGTCTCCAAGTGCCTTTCTGAACTTCCGATATGTTTCTTGTCCGTATGCTGTTTTGCCCGTATGCTGTTTTGCAGCCGGGTGATGTGATGCAGAAATCAAATTTCTTCGACGCCGCCGCCGTTGATGCGCGAAGATGGAAACTAACGCCTGATCTGGTAGGTTTTGGAGTATTAATCGTCGATGTCGATGTCGATGTCGACTTCTTGTGGTGTGCAGAGAATTCCTAGGAAAAAAACTAAAGGAAATAGTGGCGGACTAGTAGTCGTCACGGAAAAGAACCCCCTGAACACCGTGTGCTGTGTGCTGTGTGCTGTGTGCTGTGTGCTGTGTGCTGTGTGCTGTGTGTCGCCTAATGCGCAAATAGGTGAAGGTGGTCATGCTGAAACATAAGAAACCGAACTGAAAAACGCAAAGACTGATAGTGAAAAGCCTGCTGAGGTCGATGTGCGTATAGTATAGTACGCAGGCCCTTGCGAGGCGGAATGTAATACATATAGGTGTGTCGTAAGCAGTTCCGAACAACCAGTTTAGTTGTCATTGCTAATTGTTATTATTACCAGCTCAAGGGAGTTTGTACTCCATCTCCAACTCGAATTGCCTCATCATACCCTCGAGGTCTTTTTCATCATCGTCCTGGTAGTCAAGATTGTACGCCGACATGCTGAATTTGTAAGCTTGGGGTTCGCCGTCAGGAACGATGTCCATGAAAGAATCAGCGTCGATGGTGCCGCTGAAGCGGCCGTGGCCAGGGCATGGGATGCCGTCTCGCACGGAAGCTCGGAAATGAGTGATTCCGTATGCATCGGGCCAGCCCGTGCGAAGTCCAAAGACAATTCGCATGGAATGCTCCTCGCGAGGATCAATTAGGTCGTTTATTCGGCCTAGATGTCTGTCCGTGTTGACCTGCATGAAACGGACCAACTTTTGCCGGTTGGCGTTATGTTCCTTGGTTATCATCCGGACACCTTTTCTGAGCTCAACCGGGTAGGCTAGTTTAGAGAAGCGCCTGTTAGAAACGAAACGGGAATCCGGCAGCACTACATAGCCGCAGGACTTGAATACGAGCTTTCGGAGCTTCAGTCGCTTTTCAATGTGCAACTGCGGCTCGGTGGGGAATTTCTCCGAGAAGACGCGCTGTTTGATTGTTGGACCCGGTGTCAGCATGTCGATGACATGAGACCAGGAGAGGGTGAGAGGATCTTTAATCAGGCCCGGGAGATCTATGCCTTGTGGGGCACTGAGTGACCTAGTCCATGGCACATAATCCACATCACGATCTTTCGCACCTTTTGGGAGGGGAGGGCCGGTCAGAGAGACGGTTTCCAACTCAAGAGACTCGAGAGCGTGTTTCTTAGCCATAGTGCGGATGATGCGATAGAATACGTTCGGAGCGAACCAGCAGTTCTTGAGAGACAAGTGTGTAACGTAAGGGAGGATAAGAAGATTCTCCTTTCCTGAAAAGATCACCAGTCGGTGCTTCTTTAAGAATGGCGCTGGTAAGACGTAATTGTTTCTTTGGAGACAGCCAGGAGCCAGCTCGCCACCACAGAGCCACTCAAAATGGAGTCGCTGGATTCGTTCTTGTCGACCGATATGATCGTTGAGTAACTTGAAGACTTTAGGCAGCGCGTCGGTAGGATAAACCTGTCTCGTCTCTATGGTGTAAGAGTCTTTCATGGTCACTGATCTCCAGTCAGGCACAATACCCAGAGACACCTCCCGGAGTTTAGGTAGGTTCTCCTTAGACCAGAAGTCATCGCGGCACAGTAAATGCACATGGAAGCTTGAAAGACGCGCGATATTGAGCTTAGTCAAGGATTTGTAAGATTTGCCGTGGTCGATCACAGTAAATATAAAGCACTGCACGAGGGCTTGCTGTGCTGTAACATGTTGGAATATGAATCTCGCCTGGGTTTCCGTGAGCTGATCCGGTAGCAAACGGTAATCACTGGGCGAAGAGGGAGATCGGGTGACCTTTTCCTCGCCATAACGGCTCACGGGAAGGGGAGCTCGGGTTCGGTCCTCATGGGTAAATTCTTTCATGCTGATTCCTTCAGTCTCTAAGAGTCTCTTCATCGTATCCGATATGACGTTATCGGGAAGTCCCTTGGCAGCTAGTCGCTTTTCTATCGTTTCTAGCTTATAAGGCCTCTTGAAGCTGACCTGAAGAGAGGGCAGTGAGTTGTCTGCGACCGCTCGAATCTGGTTGGGTTCGCCGAAAATTGGTTGCGGACCCGGTGGCTGAAAGAGACTGAGATCCGGGCCTTGGAGATAGCCCAAACCGCCATCGCATGATAAGGCGAATTCATGGATCTGCTTGACCATGCTCAAGACATGGTAGATTCCTTTCGAGCGTTCCAACGAGTTGGTGATCTTTTCCAGGCGTGATTCAGAACGACGACTGCCGGGAACAACGGGCCATCTGTACACACCCCACTCGCGGATCTCGATTTCATCTTCCTCGTCAATTTCGGGAGATGCTATTTCTTGCTCCGTCATTTCCAGCGCCAATCCGATGCGACAGACGAATGGGGCCGCGTGGTTAAGCAGATTGGACTTCATAATGTACTCGGTAATGTCATCAGCGGTCGGACCATCCGGTGAAGTGTCGAACATTAAGCCCACATTGATTACCAAGTGCTGGAAGAATTGATATTGCAACTTTGTGTAGAATTCCCGGTTGACGAGGCGTAGTGTCTCAAGAGTGGCGCGCTTGGGTAAGTACTCTACGATCAAGCAGAATACCTCGACGGGCACGCGGCCCGAAGGCCAGCCAGGCTTGCCTTCTCGAGCAAGTTAGCAACAGTGCTAGTTTATACATGTCAAGGCTTTAAAGGGTAGCGAGGTATATAGGGACACGTGATATAGAAGTAGGGGAGGGGGGGAAAAGGGCAGCATAGTTGCGGGAAGAGGCAGTGTAGGCCTGATATGCAACATGTTTGAAGAAAAAAGTAATTACAAAGAGGATAATAAAAGAGGATGATAGGGATAGGTGTAGTAGTGTTGAGGGGAGTGTAGGTATAGGATGGTGACAAAAAGAAATGTTACTTACGGAGAAGCGGATCCATGATAGACTCTAGTCGTAAGCCAGCACGAGTAGTCTTTCTGTTGATGTTTCAGGAAAAGAGAAGAAGAAAAACAAATGTGTGTGAGGCCAGTAGTTTGTAGTGACAGGATCCGTAATTTTGATGCCTTTGACCCGTAATACCCGTAATACGGAGCGTATCAGGTGTAGCTTGGGAAACTTGGACAAGGCAGAAAAGAATGAGAACAGGGCTAGAAACGATTTGCTGATGCGTGTTTATGAACCCTTGAGAGAAAGAAGACTTTGTTAAGGAAAGGCTAGAAGGGTGTCAACAACACGTGTGGTATGTGGTGTATGCTGGCTGTATGGTTCTGTAGTAGACCCTTATGTTGCCAAAAGGTATGTGCAGTGGAAGTGCGAGTGAGAGGGGAAGAAAGTCCAAGAATGAACTGCAAAGAGTCCAGTACTTGGAATTAGATGGTGAGACAGGTTGGCCTATGAGGCAGAAAAATGTGCTAATGTTGAGGGTGGTGTGGTAAAAAAAGGCAGGCAGAGAAAATAAAACAGTCAGGAACAACAGAAATAAAAATTTTCAAGACGGAGGGGTCGTCGTCGTCGAGAGGCTTTCGTGTTTCTCACGTTGCTTGACTGTGGTTGACGTGAGGGGACTGACGAGGCGAGAGCATGTGGATAGGAACCTGAGAGATGTTCCTTACCCGTGTTAGGTGCTAGGTCCAATAGGTCAAGTGCCTAGCAAATAAATGAGGTTTGTCCTTGACCACTATGGTAGAAAAAAACTTATGGGTAAAACGACGAGCTTGTTTAAGGAATGGAATACGAAATCAGGCAGTGATGGGAAACAAGTACATCAATCTTCTAGTAACATCGCCGATAGACCAGACTTACCAGGAAGTGGAATAACCACCTAAATAGATGGCAACTCGGTAATTATTCGATTCACTATTTCATACCAATATGCTCAAAGCGACGACTATATCTCGATGCCTACCTTTAAATAAGGTACTAAGAGGTTAAGCTGAGGCTTTGAGCCTCAAGCTTGGCTTATGTTAGTTAGAGTTATAGGAACGTATGTGCGTATTGGCACAGACTTAAGAGCTATTAGCTATGTACCTAAGGAAATAAGCTGAAATGTTGTTCATTCTGTTTCACAAGTACGTCAGCTCCCCTCATCAATGCTTGCGATCTTGGACTCTAATCACTTAGGTAAATAAGGTACATAACATAAACATACCTCTCGCACGATCTTCTAAGTCTGCTTAGGTTAGCAGAAAGCTATCGGGAATATATGTAGGTAGGTAAACAAGCTTTAAGGCTGACTGCTTTGAGGGGGGGCCGCTATGTCGTTCACGGTATGTGAAATAGAGGCATGTACTGTGTCTAGGCAATGTACGACTTTAAAACTGGTTATGCGTAATTAAAACTATCACTATTAAAAGACAATAACGTCTGCTAGAGAATCGAAAGATTTAGACAATATTAAGACTTATATAATATTGTCGATTAGTTGCGCTGCGAAAGTTTAGAAGGCTCTTCCTTATAAATGTCTATAAGGTCGATTGTAAGGCATGAGATATTGCCTTATGTTACCTAAGCTTGTGAGTTTGGTCACAGGAACTAACAGACGTACTTTTATGTTTTAAGCTGAAAGGTTATGAAAAGCTTGATTGAGAAGAAAATAATTTTATTATAACTACCTTACCTACCTAGCTTTTATTACAAAGAATAATATATTGAATGCCCATCAGAATCGATCGAATGTTGTAGGAATAGGCGCGTTGCCGCTGTCGGCATTGTTGTTGTCACATTTAAGATGCCGGTGCCGAGAAGGCCGGAGATTTGGGCCGGGGCAGTCACGGAGGGTTGCTACCGCATGTCCCTTGGAACTGCGGAACTGTGGAGTCAAACCCGGCAGCGCATAAGGCGGAGTTAAGGGAAGACTTTGCTAGGGCAGATAGCTTACCAACTTTAATACTACTACGCTACCTACCTAGATACCTAATACTATATACTCTAGGCATCACCGCTATCCAACAAGCCAGCCAACACAACAAATATCAAGGTGAGAGATAGCAAAACTCGGTTATATCGATTCGGAGATTCCCTAGATAGAAAAGAGTACAAGACATGTCTTCTCGAGGAAGCTCTCGATGCCTAGCCGGGCAAAGCCAGGCGCAGGCGCAGTCGCAATCGCAATTTCCAGATCTGCGCCTCGCTCCCGGTCGGGCGTAACAATTTCGTCTGCGGGTGACTGACTGACTGACTGACTGACTTGGGTCTGTCCGTGGGCCGCCGATAGTTCGCTTCCCCCCAGCGGTCCACGACGTCTGCTGCAGCACTGCAGGTCGGCACAGGCAGCAGAGCGTTTCCCGACGCGCGTGTACCTTGCAGGAACTGCTGTTGATAATGAAACCTCATCTAGGTTCCATCTCTGGTCCGAGTCTACGTCCGGTTAGTGTAGAGCCTTGGACAGTCGTCGTGGAATTCTGGGAATTGGCCACATCATAAAATTTTTTCTTCTTCCTATCCCCACATTGCGAGGGCAAAAAAAAAAAAAAAAAGAGCCCAACACACCTGAGTTATGGATCCTTCTCTCTGATGTTTGCTGGTTGTTGAGTTAGTTAGTTGGTCCCTTTTTCTTCTGGGATTCCCAATCACAAACTTCCTAAAATGCCGAATTTTCCGATTCGACCAAACCCCACTGCCCACTGCCCACTGGGCTCAATTTGTTGTTGCGCACAACTTCTACTTCTGTCGTGCTGATTTAGAAGAGGGGCGTGGAGCTAACATATACCTTAGCTATAATTGCCCTTCTTTTTTCAACACATACATACACGTGTAGGCCGCCGACAAGGCAGAGAGGCCAACTTATTATTATATGTAGTTACATGTTTTTTAGGGAAGTTTGGCCCCCTTGTGGTATCCCTCCACTAGGGGATGCAGGCTCCGGATTCCGTAAGGCGAAATGGGCGTATTGCATTTTGCCGCGACCCCCCTCGAGAGGAGTCGCTCCGCTCTGAGAAACATATGACCCGTGTCTAGCAATCAGCACGAGCGGGATTGGAGGATTATATGGGCTGCCGAATCCTACGGCGCTTGGCGTCGCCGTTCGGGAGTTATGGCTGGATACGGAATAATTACGTAGGCCGTTAGGCCGTGGTGTTTTGCTCGAAGGAATGGCGGCCGAAAAGACGTGCTGTTTCTTACGGCAGGCCGGGTTGATCAGGTTTGGTAAGTTAGTAGGATGAAGTAAGAACTAGCAACTTCAAAGTGCAGCATTTTGACGACTCTTGGCCTGTTTAGTTATGGTGTGTCTTGGGCTCAGGACCCTTGATTTGCTAGATTTATAGGATCCTAATGGTCGTGCATCTTGCTTGCAGCAATGAAGATCCCATGCTATTAGTCGTGTAACGTGAGCACTAAATAACCCATCTAGAAGTACTCCTTTGAAAAGATACAACATGTATAATATAATGAGGGATGGGGGTGCAGTTGTCCCCTTGTACATAATAATAACACCGTTCCCCGCATCTAGGTAAATACCATGGCAGATGGCAAACAGGATTGGTGGAACTTAGAAGCAGTCAACTCCATGGACTGGCCGAATAGATCACCAAAAAACTACCAACTAGGTTAGACTGCCCACTTCGCTTTGACCGGGTGGGACGGCCCGCCGAGCTAGTCTAGCGATGTAGATGTGTATGTAGATGGACAAGGCACTTGTGATACGTGACATGACATACATTCATACGTACATTCAAGACCATAGAATCGATACATTAGGTACTCAACTCATTCTTATGGACGACAACGCTTGCGAAAACCTCACTCGGAGTTATAACATTCTGGAATTAGAGCTTGGGGGGTATGAGTATGACCGAACGCCTACAAAGTAGCACAGACAGCCTCCACCTGTAAGTTAACATAGGATCCGTACACGAAAGAGCTATCCAATATTAGCCCTTCCTAGCCAATGGCTAAAACTCCATCGTGATGTAAAATCGCATAAGGGGTATATAAAGTGCGTGAATTAATCAATCTTTCCCAACGCGGTTTGCAAGTCCCGTTGCCCTCCGCAAAACCAAAACTTGACGACATAAGCCACCAGTGAAGTAACAAAGTAAATGAAGCCGTGAGCATAATGGCTATATATATACTGAAGAGGGTATTGCGCTATTAAAAAAAAATCCATGTATTTCAGCCCCACGCATCTTCGATCTCCCAAAGCCTAAGATGATCAAGCTGGCCAGAGTCGGAATATCGCCTGGCAGGAAGATCTGTCCTTGGATTAATGGATGCCGAGCTACGATCTTCGTACACGCCCTCGAACTGAGCCGGTGGTAGATTGGCAGCTTGATCTTTCCACCACAGGTGGAGAACATCCTGTTGCCATCTATTGGTATCGCGAACTCTGAGGCGAGAATGGAAAGTAGACCACAAAAGCTCGGCTTCCATGGGTGATAAATGAAGCTTATGAAGCAACCAACGATTAATATAGCCCCTTTTGTCAACATCTCCAGCCTCTTCAAGTAAGGAATGGATGTTGACCTCGCGGGCCGCATCATTAACATGCTTTTGACGGGATGGCATTCCCGGGGGAAGTGACAGGGCGAGCCGGAGCGATTGTTGGGCTGTCATGGGGAATGCCTCTAGCAAGTGCGTAGGATTCGACAGCAGTTTGGGGAACACCGAATGTGCCAGAGTCTTAGGTTGCCCTTTCGCGTGCGTGTTGAACGGCACATCATCCAGCTGGATATCGTCCTTAAGGACGGGATTGACTCCAAACCCCTCCTCCCGGAAAGGTGTGTTCTTGGGCATTACTCCCTTTTCGCGGCATTCGTTCTCTAATCTTATGACATCTTTCGTGAAACGATCGATATCAAACCGAGCCTTCCGCTCTAGCTTGTCGTAATCCATTAGCATTTCAATGTCGTCTTCCGACATTACTCCCGATCGCTTGAGTTCGAGAGCTCGGTTCTTCCCCGCATCCCCGTACTTCTCCAGCAGCTCGATACTATCAGGAGA